GAAAAAGGGGAGAAAAAGAGGAAAAGGAGGGAGAGAAAGGGGGCTCGCCCCTTTGCCGATTCGGGAAAAGGAGGAGGGAGCGGGGCGACTCGGCAGAGGGAGAGGGGCTCTCTGCCTCCGCCCCTTGGAGGCTAGCGCGCGGAGTGGCGGGGGCCGGGCGATGACGACGGCGATGACGGCGGGGCGGTTTGGAGCGGCGCGACGACACGGGCGACAGGCGCGGGCTGGCGCGGCAGAGGGTGACGGCGGCGGCGACCGGGCGGTCGGCCACTCGGCACGCGCGCGCGGGAAACAACGGGCGGCGCGGCTGGGCAGCGGGACCGGGCGACGCGGACGGCGCAGACGACGCGGCTCGGGCGGGAAACCACGCGGGCGCGCGCGCGAGCGACGGCGCGCGGGGCCGGCTTTGCGAGCGGGGAGCGCGCGCGAGAGGAGGGGGCGCTCGGCGCGGCTCTCGCACGCGCGAGCAGCGAGCGGGGGGGGGGGGAGAAACGCGCCGGGGAAAGCGAGAGAGAGAGAGAGAGAAAGAGAGAGAGAGAGCCGGGGAAGAGATGGGCCGAGCGGAATTCGGCCCATCGAACCCGGGGGAGGCAAACTAGACTTTTGCGGAGGGATTCGATTTGGAAGGAATTGGATTCGGAATTGAACTCGACGATAGATCGGGGATTGAGATCTTGAGATGGCACGGACACTAGACAACAAGCAAAGAAACAAATTTCGCAATTAGGGTTTTTAAGAGATGATTTTCCCGCTAGGCGCCACGACGGAACGGGCGCTACACCAGCTCGGCCGCCGACGGCCGGCTGCCGCGCCCGCCTGCCCGGCCGCCGCCGCTACCGCCCGGCTTGCCGCCGCGCCCGCCTGCCCGCCCGGCCGCCGCCGCGGCTCCCGCCGGGCGCCGCCGCTACCGCCCGGCTTGCCGGCGCTCCCGCCTGCCCGGCCACCGCCGCCGTTCGCGCCGGGCGCCGCTGCTCCTGCCTGGCGCCGCCGCTACCGCCCGGCCGGCCGCCGCTCCAGATCGAGGGGAAGGGGAGGAACGGCAGGGAAAATAGAGAGGAAGGGGATGAAGGGGAGAGGAAGAGAGGGTGAAGGAGATATTAATGAGAGGGGAGGAGATCGAGAGGAGATGGCGCGCGGCTCTCGGGGTAGTCTTTACTCCCGTTGGTATAAACAACCGGGACACTAAGAAGTCCCGGTTGTTTATACCAACCGGGAGTAAAAATAATCGTGATCTGTCTTGAACCCGACAACTTTTTGAACCGGGACTAAAAATGATTTTTAGTTCCGGTTGGTATTATCAACCGGGACTAAAGATCAAAAGTACCCCTCAACTTTTCAACGGGACTAAAGATGCTTTTTAGTCCCGGTTTTTATTAGAACCAGAACTATTGTAGAATTTGGCTGACCGACCAAAGATGGTTTCTCCACCAGTGTAACCAACCCTGTACATATGTGTGCCACGTACGTACTGCACCGAGTTAGCCATCATGGACAGCTCAACCACCCAGGCAAGTTCCTGTGCACGGATCGAGTTGGCCGCCATCGCCACGATTTAATTACTCCAATTTGTAACTGTTAAAATACATTTTTAGATACGTACCACAAAGTATTTCATTATTCGGATCCTAAATTGCCATGACACCCCTCCAAGATTCTACGTGACGTTTATGTGACATATATACCATATGAACGATAAAGTAACATGCCACGTAAACATCCTAGTCCTAAATTTTCTTTTTCTTCTATTTCCTCCCCTCTGCATTTTCCTTGTCTTGTTTTTTTTTTCTCTGGCCGAGCTGTCGACGAGGAGGGGGGCCCGCCACGCGGTGAGACGCGAGGGACGAAGCAGTGCGAGCGTACCGGAAGTGGATCGCTTGCAGAGGAGAAGCGACGAGGACAAGGTTGGCGGCTGATCTCGTGAACGGGGAATCTCGACGTACGACACAACGGCGGGAGATCGGGAGGCTAGCTTAGCTGTGGCAGCGCGGGAGACGCGGGAGCTTGACGAGGCAACGCCGCCGCCATGCGTGGAGCTCGGCCTCCATATATATATATATATGCCGCTCGATTCGGGCGTCACGTACGTACGCCGATGACGCCGCGGAGAGGAACGCGAATGCATGCGCATGCTGCAGGAGCAAATTAACGTTGCGTACGCTCGCGTACATGCATGCGCCGCCCGCGCCCGCCCGGCCGGATCGGACCGCGTCTGCCAAGAGGGACTGAGGGAGTGCGCCGCTCAGAAAGATTACAAGTAGCAAGTTGAATATATGCCTTGATTCTCCAAGATTTCTCTTGGAGATTTCTTGTCCGCCAAACTTTTTCTTCTTTACTTCTTTGTCGCCGATGCCAGCGCAAGCAATCCAAATTGGCGCATGATTGCGATCGATTGTTGCCGCGCGGAAATATACATTTCCATTAATTTTTATCGTAAAATATATTGAAGGCGCTTCTCCATCTGTCTATTAGCCAATCACGGGCGTTCCCCGGCCTTTTCCTAGGTTTGAAGAAAGAAGAAATGAGAAAGCTCATTACCATATAATTAATTAAGTATTAACTATTATAAAATTAGAAAATGGATTTTTTTTAAAAAACAACTTTTATATATAAAAAAGCTTCGCAAAAGACACACCATTTAATATTTAAAAAAACATGCTAACAGAGAAAAGAGCATGTTAAAGAAAATAACAGGACCACAATTATCTATCATTTAATTTATCTGCCTACTTCTCATATAAATCAATAACACTAATTTTATTTCAGTTCTTTAATTTACTTTATAGAAAAACTCCAGAAAATGCTTATATTTTGGTTTAGTACTCCTATATTTTTGTTTATGTTCATGTGCAACCAATTTTTGTATATCGGTAAAATTCAGACATGGAACCAATATTTCCACTCTTCCTTCTTCTTCATCTCCTCTAACTTCCATAGAGGTGAGGAAGAAATTATGGAGGAAAACAATGGCAGATGGGATCCATAAGTTGATTTGGCCAGCCAATGGGGTCAAAGCTGCATTAAAAGTAAGACGGAATCGCCTCCCAAACCACTAAAGGAGGAACAAACGTACAATGGTCAAAGCTGCACTTAATTAGACGTATGGCTAATTAAGTACGGACAAACGTACAATGCTCGCTGGTTGTGTCTCTGCTTACCTGGATCGACCGATCGAGCTAACATCGCCGATGGACACTGGTTAAGAATGATACCAGGTGAAACGGTAAATGCGTCAATCCGATCCAGCAGACATGGTCAACGTCAACCCAGCACAGACAGACAGACTTGGTATATATCCTCGACCATCTTGAAATCCCTATAGAGAACTCGTCATCGTCCTCACATAAACCGATCTGTTGGCGAGTTCGATCATCCGAGATCTTCATCTCACTTTTTGGAAAAGACCGAAATTTCATGATTCTTAGAGCTTTCTTGCAGGAATTATTTAAACTTATAACTGAATCTGAATAAATAATTTTGACCAAATTCACAGAAAATTAGAAAAATTCGAGAACTTCTTTTAACACTTAACTTGAGATAGTGGCTAGATTGCCCGGGGTGGGTTTTGATACTGATCTCACCTTCTTTTATCACTTAACTTGTGACAAATTTAACTATCATATATTCTATGAAAGGTTTATCAAATTATTATCATATATCATCTATTCTGTGGAATCTATTCTATGGAAGGTTTACTAAATTATTGTCATATATAATCTGTAGCACGGCTGCCTACCTACTTTTACTTTTTTTTTCCCTCCAATTATTCTAGGACGTCACGACTATAGTTGGCCATAAGGCCCGAGGCCCGACGGCCTAGCCCAGGGCATGAGATTTTGACCCAGCCCACGCACCGCATGGCCCAATCCCTGTTGGGCCCGTGTCAGCACGACCCGGCTATTGGGTCGTGCCGAGGCCTATGCCTTGGCACAGTGGGTCGGCCCGGCACAGCACAAAGTTTAGGGAGGTGAAATAGACTTATTTTCAGCCATATGTATAGAGGGCACACAGAATAGGGAGGACAAATAGATGTATTATATGCATGGCACAGCCCAAAGAGTAGGGACGTAAAATAGACATATTTTAGCTATATATATGTCACAACCCAAAGATGAGGGAGGGGAAATAGACTTATTTCAAAGAAAGCACGATGAGCTGCCTGTGCCTTGGCCGTGCCTGGGCCATAGGTGGAGCACGTGGGCCGGCACGGCACGGCACGGCTCGGCGTGTAGGTCGGGCCGTGCCGCGCGGCCTGACAAATCTTGGCCCGAGCATGATCAGGCCTAGGCCGTGTTGGGCCGGGCAGCCCATTTGGCCATTTATAGTCACGACTCACAACCAGACATTTTCAATCCTGAACTTTCTTAACCGGACGAATTACCCTCTCGTTTAACAACAAGGTTGTTTTAGTCCTTGGTGACGCAGATGAGGCAATGTATTAACCATGTGAAAATCAGTCAACAACTTAATAACATAAATATTCTTAAAATTAGGGTGGCCTAGCTGTCATACTCACAGCCCCGTTTCTTCCGCCTCTCTCTCTCTCTCAACCTCAACCTCAACAGAAGTAGGTAGGATGTAACGATAACCTCCACGAGATACGGAAGGAATGTCGCAACGCCCTCCAGAGTTGGCCAAGGAAGGTGGCAGCCATGTCCTCTAGGAGTCGGAACAGAAAGGTGGCAGTACCACTACCACCCGTGACGCGCCGCATTGAGTTAGGGGAGGAGAGGATATCGATGGGGTAGAAGGGGCGGCGCTATGTGAGATGGTGGCAGGAGGGGGTTGAGGTGGTGGTCTATAGGAGGAAGGCGAAGGCGGCAACGAGGGGCTACCAACGCCGTGGTGTTGGCGATAAAAATTATGTAGAAGCAAGGTGGTGGGGGGAGGCGCGCGCCGATGGGGAGGAAGCGCATGATAGTGCTATTGACCTACCAACCGGTGTTGTTTGTCTACGGGCTCCCATTTTCTCACTATTTTTCCGTTCGATGCAAATTCAACGCTACAGAATGGGCTGAAAAATTCAAATTTATTATTTATAAAAAAATGATACGCTTACACACTACTGGATACGTTTACACACTAGCTAGACAGTACAATACTACATCTTTATTTTAGATATATAATAGATAGGGCATCATGACATGCAGATATCTATCGCGTTAGTAGGGCCTTTCGTTCTTCATGTTACCACGCGGGAAGTAGTTGCAAGCGATGATGGTGCCGATGCCGTTGGTATTGCAGGCGACGCGGGCGCAGCCGACGTACGCCGTGCGCCTCCACACCACCTGCGTGTAGTGCGTGCAGCCGAGCTCGCCCGCCGAGCAGTAGTTGCTGTCGTAGTAGTACTTTGCCTTCTCGGCGAGCCAGTAGCTCATGGCGTCGGCCGGCGTCCCGGTGGTGCCGGCGCCGTAGCTCCACCACAGGTTCTCGCCGTAGGGCCCCGGGATGTGCTGCGTCTGGCAGTAGCGCGCGTGCTGCAGGGCCTGCGCCGCCAGCGCGTCGTTCCACGCCACCCGCCCGACGCCCACCGCCGCGCGGGCGCTGTTGTGGAGGTTGACGAAGGCCGCCTTCTCGTCTTCCGAGAATTGTTGCGCCGTCGTGGTCGTGGCCATGATAATCATGGCGAAAGCCGCCATGACCACCACCATCATCTTTGCTGATGCTGATCTCTCCATTCAGTTTTTCAGCTCCTCGCTGATTCACGAATTGTTGCTGCAACAAGCTATTAAGCTATATACCTCTCGCTAGCTAGCTAGACTCCAGTATGAGATTAACGCATGCAATTAGGCAGTATTTATAGGCGGATCGATATGATACACAGGGTGATCTCAACACGTACGGCTAATAATTAAGTACTATAACATATGATGCTCTCTGGTACGTAGTCTCTCAGCAAAAATACCTCGAGCTGACATGGACCGATGCACACTGGTTAGGAATATGATGATATACCAGGTGAAACGGTAAACGCGCGCGTCAATCCGATCCAGCCAGCAGACAAGGTAATTAAACGTCAATTCTCAGCAGACAGACTTGGTATATATCCTCGGCCATTTTGAAATCCCTATGTGTAGAACTCGTCATCGTCCTCACATACACCGATCCGTGTTGCCGACTTGGATCATCCGATCGGATGATCGTTGGTCACCCACGGTTTACACGTACTTTTCAGAGAAAGAACGAAATTTGGTCAGCAAAATTTCGTAATTTTCGGGATTTTCATAACATTTTTCACGAAATTCTTTCCTTTAATTGAATTTAAATAAATTTTGATCAAATTAAAAAAAATAGTGATTTCTGCAGACCTTTTCGTGCATGCGGGCCCGCCAACCGCATGGTAAAACTGGTTCTAGCCGTATGCAAAAACCTTCTATTGTATGAAAGTTTTATTAAATTATTACCATATATCATCTATTCTGTGGAATATATTCTATGAAAGGATTAATAAATTATTTATATATATAATCGATAGCACGGCTGCCTACCTATTTTTGCTTTTTTTTCCCTCCAATTATTCTGGGACGTCACAACTCACAACCAAACGTTTTCAACCATGAACTTTCTTAACTAGACGAATTACCTCCACGTTCAACAACAAGGTTGTTTTAGTCCTTGTTGACACAGATGTGATGATGTATTAACCATGTGAAAATCGGTCAACAACTTAATTACATAAATATTTCTAAAATTAGGGTGGCCTAGCTGTCATACTCATAGCCCCGTTTCTTCCGTCTCTCTCTCTCTCTCAACAACAGTAGGTAGGATGGGGAAACTATTCTAATCCCTCGAGGGGATGTTCCTCATTTGCTTAAAAACCATCTAAACGGTTATGAAAAATTCTGAAAAAATTTGACAACATTCATACAACACATATAGACAACTACACAAAATCTTAAGTGCAAACTTAACTCACACGTCGAGATATAAAAAAATTCAAATTCAGCGTATGAATAGTAGCATACTGTTTATATCTAAATTTGTCTTTTTTGTTTCTCGATGTGTAGATCAAATTTGAACTTGAATTTTGATGGACTAATAGGTATCATTATACTCTACATTGTCATTTTTCTTTCAGAATTTTTCACAACTATTTGCATTGAATTTAGAAGAAAAATGTATACGAGGGGATATCCCCCTCGAGGGATTAGAATCCACTTCTGGTAGGATGTGACGGTAACCTCCACGAGCTAGGGGAGGAATGCCACAGCGCCCTCCAGAGTTGGTTGAGGAAGGCGGCGGCCATGTCCTCTAGGAGTCGGTACAGGAAGGTGGTAGCACCACTACCACCCGTGATACGCCGCATTGAGCTAGGGAAGGAGAGTAAATCGATAGGGTTAGAGGGGTGGCGCCTTGTGAGGTGGGGGAGGAGTGGGTGGTCGAGTGCGGCAGCAGCGACGGCAAGAGGGGTTTGAGGTGGTGGTCTGGGAGGTAGGCGAGGGGTGCAATGAGGGGCTACAACCGTCCACCTCTGTGGTGTCGGCGACAGCGGATTCTGCATGAGCAAGAGGGACGCGCCGATGGGGAGGAAGCGGATCGATGATAGTGCTACGGGTCCATCAATTGGTGCTATTTGTCTACGGGCTCCCATTTTCCCATCATTTTGTCGTTTGATGCAAAATAAACGCTCCACAGAATGGACCGAAGGATTCAAAATTTTCAAGCAATTACTTTTAACTTCAACATGCACTTTTCCTGGGCAATTAATTTAGCAAATCCGTACTTATTTATTTATTATTTATGTAAAAAAATACATACGTTTACACACTACTGGATACACACACGTAGAGAATACTACATCATTATTTTACATAATAGATAGGGCAACATGACATGTGCAGATATCTATCTATCTAGTAGGGCCTCTCGTTGTATATGTTGCCACCCGGGTAGTAGTTGCAAGCGATGATGGTGCCGATGCCGTTGTTGGTGTTGCAGGCGACGCGGGCGCAGCCGACGTACGCCGTGCGCCTCCACACCACCTGCGTGTAGTGGCGGCACTCGCGGCCGCCGCAGCTGTTGCTGCTGTAGTCGTAGTACGGCTTCTCCCCCACCCAGTAGCTCATCGCGTCGGCCGGCGTCCCGGTGGTGCCGGCGCCGTAGCTCCACCACAGGTTCTCGCCGTAGGGCCCCGGGATGTGCTGCGTCTGGCAGTAGCGCGCGTGCTGCAGGGCCTGCGCCGCCAGCGCGTCGTTCCACGCCACCGGCCCGACGCCCACCGCCGCCCGGGCGTTGTTGTGGAGCTGGACGAAGACCGCCTTCTCGTTTGCCGAGAATTCTTGGGCCGTCGTGGTGGTGGCCATGGCAATCATGGCGAAAGCCGCCATGGCCACCACCATCATCTTTGCTTCTGCTGATCTCTCCATGGCTGATTCTTCACGAATTGTTACTACAACAAGATATTAATAAGCTATATATCTCTCGCTAGCTAGCTAGACTCCAGTATGCAGATGGCTAGAGAAGAGGGTGATGAGATTAACGCATGCAATTAGGCAGTATTTATAGGCGGATCGATATGATCACAGGGTGATCTCAACACGTACGGCTAATAATTAAGTACTATACAAACATATGATGCTCTCTGGTAGTCTCTCAATCTGCAAAAACCTCGAGCTGACATCGACCGATGCACACTGGTTAGGAATATGATGATACCAGGTGAAACGGTCAATCCGATCCAGCAGACAAGGTAAACTAACGTCAATTCAGCAGACAGACTTGCATGGTATATATCCTCGGCCATTTTGAAATCTCTATGTATCGTACGTACGTCATCGTCCTGACATAAACCAATCTGCTTATGTTGCCAAGTTGGATATGATCATCGATTCGATCGGATGATCACCGAATTTCGGTGGTCACCCACGGTTTACACTTTTCATGAAAGACCGCATTTTGGTGGTCACCAAAAGTTCATGATTTTTGGGATTTTCATAACATCTTTCACGAAATTCTTTGAAATTTTAACTGAATTTCAATTAATTTTGACCAAATTCACAAGAAAATCCAATAAATTCAGGCTAGATAGTTGCTTGCCGAGCGATTCGAAATTACAAAAGGTCTGAACCGAAACCTAAATAACTGAAATCACCCTGTTTTAACACTTGTGGCAAATTTAATTACTATCATCGATGAAAGGTTTATTTTTGTACAAGATTACAAATCTCTTTAGTTTTCAGTATAACAGATATCTGGTAACCTTGAGCTCGTAAGTGCCAGATCTAGACACCGAGAGGGCTTATACTGGTCTGCAACAGGTTTTGGCAAAATGTGGGGTAGTGATGGCAACGGGTACTGCCCAATATTCTGTTCAGGTGAAGATAACTATCGATTTTTAACTTGACACACACGATCCGAGCCCTGCAATCGCTGCACCAAGTATCATTTGGTTATCAACCGTACCGAAACTCGATTAACCTCGCCGAGAAGGCTAATCCCTGCACGCGAATCGAATAACACAAGTAAAAACAAGAAAGACAATAGTTCAATTGCAGATAAATGATTAATCAAGAACTCGAAGTTGAGGTTCCACAAACCGATGAACGGCGAAATTGTAATGGCCGAAATAATCTAAGCAAAACCACACTCTAAACTATGATTGTGTTAACACCAAAATTTGATACGGTTCTTTAGAGAATTCAGTTAAGGAAAGAAATCGATTGGTAGATGGAAGTTTCTCAAGATCAAGCTGAATTCGAGAAATCATGAAGACCATGGTAAGGCAGTTTCATATAGTTAATATATCTCTTAAATAGGCAAAATTAGTTATTTTCCTTTTCTTGTTAGGAGTCTTGTCTCATGTCTGATCTCTTGTATCAACTCAAGGGTATAAATATATACACCCGGGTCTTTGTAAATTATCCACAAAACAATACAATTATATTTCGCTGCATCGTCAACCATTCGATGAGTTCTTTTTTCCGAGTAGGGCTGCATTGGTTAAATTCGATCTCCAGCGAGAAAGTAAATTTCGCTTGTATAATAAGCGAGGAAGAAAAAAATGCACCTTTGTTTGATGAATATATGTTGTAACCATGGTCATATTCCTGGTGGTGATGATGACCTCATCAGGTAGTACAACATTGACGGACACAATGCATAAGCGAACTCTCCAAACAAAAACCTTTTTGATCAGACTCCAGTAGAAACACTTCAGAAAATCAGGCATCCCACATATGGAATCCAAACTATGTATGAAGTGGTCCATGTATATATATGGCACGTGATTTTAATTACGTATTAACTTTTAAAGTTAATTTGTTTACGGCTGGATGGATTGTCAAACCCAATACACTGTCTAGCTAATTAATCTCTTGTAAGACAAACTGCCTAGCTAGTTAATTACTATGGGCACCAGGACTATATAACTGTAATCTTCAATGTTTCCGATGAATGACGTTGGAGGTTGAAATTATCAAATGGGATACACACGTTCTCTTTTGGAACCTGCAGTGGTTAGCAGGTTATATGATCTGCTATTTTTCTTTCTGAAAGTGATGTATCAATCAAGTTGCAATTACTTTCGGGTTATTCAACTACTCTGATATATATATAAAACAATAAAGTACACATCGATCGGTGGGCGGTAATTAATCAAAAGAATGTGAAAATCAAATCTGAAGTCATGGTGTATTGCGTGTGAGTAGATAAAGGGATGCGTTGCATTGTTCAAATTTGAGACTTCAGATTGATCCACCGAATGACGATTTTAGGTGGCCGGCCCATTTTATCATAGAAAGTGAGTCGATCGGTACAAGAGAAGAGATAAAAAGGAGATGGATTTTTATCTCTCGAGAATATTTCCTCGTTTCTTACATCCATAAAAACCACAAAACATTTTTAAAAAACTGGCAATACATGCTAGCTCGTTCAAATTCTTAGAAGTTGAATTTGAACATGTTTTTTCTAAGAGTTATATATCTCATATTAATATATCTTGTTATTTTTTTAATCTTTTATGACTATTGAGGTGACATGCAATAATCCCCTCGAGGGATCAACAAATTAAGCTGGAAGCGGTATTGTTCTATAAAGCCTCTACGAAAATAGGATTGTCCTCGGTGATTTCTTAAGACGTCTATCTGAGATAATTTATCAAAGCTTTATTCGTTTCTCGATTGTGGTTCCTTGAAAGGACCACATATATGTTAGAATGATTTTCTCTAGGCTGCCCATAGACACATGTGGAAATCCGGCCCTAAGTAACAAGTGGGTTTCGTACGATTGTGTAAATAGGGCACCATTCACATGCAAAAATAGTTGTGTACAATTGCAAGTAGGGTAGAGAAGGAAGATACAAAATAATCTATTAAGAAGGTATATAATGTCTCGATACAAAACAATGTTGTATTATAATTTTATCTACCATATACTCTAACACGGTGTTTAACACTGTATAACTTGCTTGATATATTATTGCATGGCTTGAGTTCGAAAATAAAAATCATGCAAAGCAGTAGAAGGAAATTCCAATATCATAAATACTATTGCCCGGGATACAGTCTAGGGACAGGATACCTTAATAGTGAACCATTATATTCCATCGATGTAGATCCGTTTATCCACCGTCTTTCTCTCAACCAATCGTTCTGTCCTTCTCCTTCCTCCCTCCTCATACTCCCCCATTCACATCGATCCTTTCTCCGATCGCCGGAGGACCAATCACTCTTCCTACACCAGATCGAGAGGCCCTAGTGAGAGTATGGATGCCGACGAGGTCACACGGATCAATCAGAATTGGTGAGGTCAATAAAGTGTGAGGCTATTGCGGTGGTGAGGTCACTGTTGTCATCGTTGAGGAGAAAGAAGAGGGAAGACACGGGGCGGAGGGGGACAAGGTCTGAGGCACCGGTGATACGGCGGAGGCGGTCATTCTAGGCATGGAGTTGACAAAGCGGACAGGGGGTGGTCACAAGGTACTTCTCATCACCTCTTTGATGCTCATCTGTATTGTCTACCGGTATGCCATCCTCGGCTGATGCCATGTATTGGGCATGATATCTCGGGGTATCACGGATGTTACCTGCTGGTATTAGGCTTGGTTTCTAGGTACCAGGGTTTGGTACCCAAGTATCAGCTAGTACACATAGGTACCAGGTACCAAGGCTACCAAGTTTCATGTATCAGTTAGAGCAAGTATAATAGTACTTCCTCAATCGGTGATAACAACAGCCACATCATCCTTGTATTACATGGAGGGAGAAAACATGAAAACAAACGGAGCGAGTGCTTGTTGAAGCGTCGGGTGATAGCACGATAATTTAGGCGGTATGAAATATTTTGTATGCTTTGTGGGCATTTGGTTCAATTCGTTTCATTTAATTAATTATGATATGCATATCGCTGACACTAATGTCAGTCTATGATATAATGTTTCCAACCGTGTCTGCACGCACGTATAAAGCCAAGTTGGTCATTTATCAAACATATTAGATTGGTTTATTAAAATGCTTATATTTTAGGACAGACGAAATAGTAACAAAATCCTTTATTTATCATAGTAAGTACGAATAATTTACAATATATATTTTACAGCGACGTCGTTTATTCCATATACATATCTGATGATGCGTACATGCATATATGTAGACATATATAGGCGCGCGCACACACACAATCCGGCTACATAGATATATATCTGACTAAATTAAGTACTCACTTAATTATATATAGTTACTAGAAAATATATATATAGTCTGCTAGTAAGGGCGCTGATCGGGCCAGTTGCCGGGCGGGGAATAGTTGCAGCTGATGATGACGCCGCCGCCGTTGCTGCAGGCGGCGCTCGCGCAGCCGATCGACGTCGTGCTCCGCCACACCACCTGCGTGTAGTGGCCGCACTCCAGCAGCGCCCCCCTCGTGCACGTGTTGCTGCTGTACACGTAGTCCGCCTTCTCCTCCATCCATTTGCTGACCGCGGCCGCCGCCGTCGCCGCGCTGCTGCCGGCGGCGGCCGGGCCGTACAGGTTCTCGCCGTAGCCCAGGTCCTCGCTGTTGGAGTGCGCGAGGCTGCAGGTGGTGGCGGCGGCGAGCTGCGCCACGTAGCTCTCCGCGAACGCCTGCAGCGTCGTGCTCCACGCCACGTCGGGGAGGCCGGCGCCCTCGCCGCGCCGGGCGGCGTTGTGGGCGTCGAGGAAGTCCTGCGGCGAGCTCTGCGCCGCCGCCGTGCTGGCCGCCATGGCCAGCGTCGCCGCCGCCAGCAGCACGAGGGCAAAGGCTTTCTGCGCCATGCTAATTAAGCTAAGCGCTATATGAGTAGCTGCTAATGTGTGTGTTGTACTTCGATGTGTGTTGCTTGCTGAGGGTATTTATAGCTGAATCAGGAGAGCTAGCTTAGCTCATCGATTGCATCAATTGCATGCAATACCATGGCTGATTGCACTACCAATATACTCCCTCTGTTTCAAAATATTTGACACCGTTGACTTTTTAGTATGTGTTTGACAATTCGTCTTATTCAAAAAAATTTAGGTCATATCATTTGATTCATTGTTAAATATACTTTCATGTACACATATAGTTTTACACATTTCATATTTTTTTTAATAAGGTGAACGGTCAAACACGTGCTAAAAAGTCAACGGTGTCAAACATTTTGAAACGGGGGAAGAGAGTATATATTTGGGACGTGGCAATGAACTTTCCAATTATTTTCCTGATCGATCTTTACTTTTAGAGTAGCAGTGTGCCCAACGTACTACTCACGAACATACGACGACGATATGATGCTAATACGACAGGGGTTAGAAAGACTTTGACTTGGTCTTGCACTCTCACGTTTTGCTTTGATTATAATTAATTGGTCAATTCTAGCAAACTGGTGGCCATGGATGGATCCAAATTACTTTAATACCATGGCGCGCGTTACCTCCATATACTTTCTTTAGCTGGGCAGGTGAATCAACTTGATGTTTACTTTTCTGTACGTCATACATATCGATATCACACTATCTGGAAAAAAAATCTTGCATGTCAAGTATTGTTGATAATGATGGGTAGCAAAGCACAGCCTTTTTCTACACATGATTCCACTGGGAAAAAAAATCAGGCAACCTATGTAAATTTATTGAATTTAGTGGTATATTTATATAGTATATACCTCCAATCATAAGTTAAAGAATATAAGTTGTTCAAGACTTCTTAAGATCAAAATGAGAAACATCTAGAGGTCTTCTGGCTAGCTCCACAAGGTGGTGAGCTAGCTAACTGACGGAGCGTGGGGCTCCTCACCGGAAGACCGCGCAGGCCCCCCTTTGCCGGTTCGGCCGGGGGCGCTAAGTGAAGTTCTTAACCCTCGATCTGTGGAATGTTCGCGAGAGAGCAAATGCACAAGACACGGGCGATGTAGACAGGTTCGGGCCGCTGAGAAGCGTAATACCCTACTCCTGTGTTCTGGTGGATCTGTGTGTGAAGGGGTTACAGAGAACCGGAGAGCAAGAGAGTTCGAACTCTAGAACTCCTCTTCCTTTTTCTCTCCTCTACGTCTCAGGTACATTCAGAGTCGTCTCCCAGTCCCCCCCTCCTTTGGTGGGCAAGGTCCTCCTTTTATATCTCAAGGGGATACCACATGCACCACTTCTACCTACTCTTCTTTTGGGTGGGGACCCACCCTATCTTGACCAAAACTTGGCTCGCGCCTTCGCCTAGAAGCTAAATCACAGCTTGTCCTTGAGTGAGGCCCAGCGCCGTCACTTGCCTGACACAGGGGATAACCCTGTCATTCCTTCATTAATGGGTGGAGATTTGCAATGGCCGCTGTCCGAATGACCCTCCGATGGGATGGGTCATACCTACCTCCACTCCGCCGGAAGCAGATGCAACGTGGGAGCACGGTTGTCTGCCGATGACGTGACTGGCGTCAGACCAGTCACAGACCGGTCATTCTTGTCCACCGCGTGTCAGTTTAGCATGCCGCACGTCTGCCCTTCTTCATACAATGACTTCCTTGCCATGGTTGCGATGAAGCCTGGAATGAATCTGGCTGGGACTGACGTGCTAACTCCAGGAGTTAGCACGCCGGCTCCGGCTAGGGACGAGTGCCTGGAGGCTCTCATCATTCCGACGGGACGGGGCGAGGCGTGTGACAGGCCGCCTGTTGCCACCTAACCCGCGATCTGACCGGTCTGTGACCGGTCACACACCGCGACTGGTCACGGACCGGATAAATGCGCGCTGCGCCGCATTAAATGCGGCGTGATGCGCTCGTCCAACCCGCTATAAATGCGGTTAGGTGAGCGCCGCTGTGCTCACCTAACCCACACACGTGACGCCAACACCACAGGGGGTCGGGGCGCCGCAGCCCTCGGGGCCGAAACGGGAGCGGCCCGACCCCTCGGGGAGACAGTGGGAGGGGTGGCCACGTCACCCTCGGGCCCGACCCCCCCGAGGGGGTCAGGCCACGTGGGTGACCGCGGCTGCCCAAGCCTCTAGTCACGATACCCCCGGTCCCATGTCACCGACACTAACCTATGTTCGAAGCCTCACCCCTTCTAATTATTTGATATTAGGTCATTCCCTAATATTTGTGGTTTTTTTGTTAAGATCAAAATGTCATCCAAATAGTCATATACACTTTTGACAAATTTAACAGCATATGTATGAGTATCATTTCACAAATATACAAGTCTAAATTCAACACATATTGTATGTTGAAAACATAACAGATTAAACTCTAAATAGTATAAACTCCAAATAGTATAGTTGTATTTCAAGCTAGCTAGGTACTCCCTCCGTTTCGAAATGTTTGACGCCGTTGACTTTTTAGCACATGTTTGACCGTTCGTCTTATTTAAAAAATTTAAGTAATTATTAATTCTTTCATATCATTTGATTCATTGTTAAATATATTTTTATGTACGCATATAATTTTACATATTTCACAAAAGTTTTTATAATTAAAAGCTTTCGACGCCATTAATTAACAGAGAAGCTCGATCCAGCAGATGAGTTTCTCAAGCTAATATGTGGTGTGCTGAGTACTTGTTGCTTGCTGAGGTATTTATAGCAGCTAAATCATGAGAGCTAGTATAGCTTAGCTCGATTACGAGAGAGGATGGAAAGACTTTAGACTTGGTCCTGCACTGTCACGTTGCTTCTAGTAGATGTTAATTAATTCCACTAAATATAATTAAGTGGTCAATTGTCGCAAACTTGCCATGCTTGTATTCACACTGTGCCTTATAGTCTTTGGCACACAGCTGCATACTTTCTTCATCTGGGCAGGTAGTGAATGCAACTTGATGTTTATTTTTCTTGCTTATTTATGTATCCTATAGCCAATAGCTCAACATACAAAAAATAAAGGAGCTATTGGATCATTTCTATGCTTAATCACAACCATCCATTTTGTAGCTTCTTTCAAGATTAAAATTAGAGTAAATTTCACAAAACTACAGGTATTTTGCATAATTTATCACAAAACTACGGATTTAAGAGCTTGTTTCACAAAACTACAGATTTAGTGTCTTCGTTTATCAAAAAACTACAGGTATTTTGTACAATCTATCACAAAACTACAGATTTAAGAACCTGTTTCACACAAATATAGATTTAGTGTATTCGTTTATCACAGTGCTACACATTTAATGTCTTCGTTTATCACAAAACTACAGATTTAGTGTCCCCATTCTCACAAAACTACACGTTTTAACAATGCTAAAAGGTGTAGTTTTGTGAGAATGGGGACACTAGATTTGTAGTTTTGTGATAAATAAAGATATTAAACCTGTAGTTTTGTGAAACAAGTTCTTAAATCTGTAGTTTTGTGATATATTATTCAAAGTACCTGTAGTTTTGTGATAAACAAAGACATTAAATCTGTAGTTTTGTGAAACTAGTTCTAAAATATATAGTTTTGTGATAGATTGTGCAAAGTATCTGTAGTTTTATGAAATTTACTCTTAAAATTAAGATCATATATCCTATATATATATGCCCAGCTGGGGGCACAAGACATATCGTTGAGGACAGAGGCAATATTAATATTTGGCACGTTGCAATATGAACTTTCCAATGATTTTCCTGATCTTTTTCTCTCGTGTAGCCGCATTACCTAACTCACGAAGACGTACGTACGGTATTATAGTACGTACAGCATGCGAGAGAGAGGTTGGAAAGACTTTGACTTGGTCTTGTACTGTTTTATACCTCTTGTAGTTCTTAATCCTAACTACTAAATATAACTAGAGTTAATTATAAGTGGTCAATTGTAGCAAACTAGCCATATATGCATGCATGGATCCACACTACTTTAGTCTAGCTTGGCACACGTTACTTTAGTCAATTAGTCTTTAGCAACTTGATGTTTAATTTTCTGGCCTATGCATGTATCCATGTCACAATATTATCTGGAAAAAGAACATCGGGCATGTCAAGTATTGATAAATAATACTAGTAGGTAGCAAAGCATGCACAACCCTTTTACACACGAGTGTGTCCGCAAGCTAGGACAAAAATCAGGAAAATTATGTATTTTCCCATGCAGCGCGTCTAGCTCTCCGCATGGGAAAATGATCTTTTCAGGCGGACCGCCCGCGCGCCCGTCTGTGAAGATCGCTGTTGGGGTGCAAGCGAAGCCGTCGTCGTTCGTCTGGGAACTGGAAAAATATGTTTTTAAGTAGTAATAGTTATTGTAGTTACTTATGTACGGTGTTATAGTACGTACACCTCTGATCATAAAAGAATATAATAGTACTATTCGTAATTCTTTAACAGTAGTATACAAAACGTTTGTAAGTATGGTCCGTAACTTGTTTTCGCGGCATTTATTCCAACCACCTGTGACTATGTACAACCAAGGGCATGTAAAAATCAAGGATTTGCGCGGATGAATTTCGAACTGCACATAAAAGTTGATTTTCATAGACGTCTCATTTAAAGAACACACCGTGAAAATGAATTTTCAGTTTTTATTTTAAAAAACCCAAAAAAATATTTTGTATTCTTATTGCTTGTGCTTGGACTATAGGAAATGTTACAATATATGGATAGGATCGTATAGTACATCCCATGAATTTTTTTTAACACTGGTGGAGAAGGGGTTTTTACTCTCAGTTCGTAACCCCCTGTAGTCTCGGTTTTCCAACCAGGACTACAAATCTGAAACTAAAGATCGCTATCTTTAGTCCGGGTGAAAAAATTGGGAGTAAAAATCCATTTTTAGTCCCTGTTGATAACACCAACCGGGACTAAAAAGACTAATCTGGTTGCTCTTTATTATTTTATTTTCTTCATTGTTTTTAATATATATTGATTTCACCCCCATCCCGTCGCCAAAATCCCAAATCAATAATTCTCAAATTGCCTCCAAATCCACAATCGATCATCTCAAATACTCAAATACATCACAAAATCTCAAAAAAAAATTACATCACAACTTCTACAAAATTATCAAATATTCACATCACACACAAATCAAATACATCACACAACAATCTCAGATCCAATCAAATACATCATACAACAATCTTAGATTCTAAAAAAAAAAGAAAAAAATCCGCCGCCTCGCCGGCCGGCCGGCCCGCTGTGCCCCGCCGCCCTCGTGCCGGCTGCCGCCGCCTCACCGCGCGCCGCGCCAGCCGGGCCTCCGCGCCCGACCGCCCTCAGCCTGTTAGAGAGAAGAAGGAGAGGAAGATAAGGTTGTGGAGAGAAGTTAAAAGGAGAGGAGGAGATAAGGTTGAGGAGAGGAGATAAGGTTGAAGAGAGGAGGAGAGAGGAGTTAAAGGAGAGAAGGAGATACCTCGATCCGATCGCGCATGCCTCTCCGATCTCCGCGTCGATCTTTTTTCCCGGTTGGTGCTATCTTTAGTCCCGATTGGTAACACCAACCAGGAGTAAAGCATATGGGAATCTTTTTTCCCGATTGGTGTTACCAACCGGGACTAAAGATAGATTTTAGTCCGGTTGGTAACATCAACCGATACTAAAGATTGAAAAGTACCTGGAGTTTTCAAACCGGGACTAAAGATGTTTTTAATCCTGGTTTTTAATACAACCGGGACTATTGTGAAATCTGGTCGACTGACCAAAGATAATTTCTCCATCAGTGTAAGAACAATAGTATCCCATGTATAAATATGATTATTTCCATATAATATATTTATACCAGTCCGTAAGACTTCATATAATCGAATCAAATATATGCAGTAACCTTAGGTGATGAAAATCAAACACCCCTTTATTTAGTACTCCCTCCGTTCCTAAATATTTGACGCTATTAATTTTTTTAAACATGTTTAACCATTCGTTTTATTCAAAAACTTTTGTGAAATATGTAAAACTATATGTATACATAAAAGTATATTTAGTAATGAATCAAATGATAGGAAAAGAATTAACAATTACTTGATTTTTTTAATAAGATGAACGGTTAAAAATGTTTAAAAAAAGTCAACGGCATCAAATATTTAGAGACGGTGGGAGTAATTTGTAATAAAAATACACACCGGATACATATATTTGTATCTGTATAGATATACTCAATACGCTTGCATCATGATGTACTTATTCCATCCGACACACACTTATATACGCATGCAGATATGCATACATACATACGAACATACATATATAATATAGTTCGCACATATATGCGCATATATATCTATAGATCGATTACGTACAAACAATATATAAGTATAGTAGCAAAATATATATACCATAGCATATACGTAATACGTTACGTACGTATACGTATACGGTAGCTAGTACGGCCTCTGGTTTTGGACGTTGCCGGCGGGGAAGTAGGTGCAGATGAAGAAGACGCCTCGGTTGGCGTTGCAGGCGACGGCGGCGCATCCGACGGCGGTGGTGTCGCGCCACACGACCTGCGTGTAGTGGCCGCACATGGCGCCGCCGACGCAGCTGTTGCTGGCGTAGTCGTAGGAGCCCTTCTCCGCCACCCACTGGTCGACGGAGCTCGCCGCCGTCCACGCCTGCACGGAGGGGTTCCACGACAGGTTCTCGCCGTACTGATAGTTGTTGCGATCGGAGTGCCGCAGCGCGCAGTCGCCGGCGCGCTGGTTCGCGTAGCCCTGCGCGTACGCCGCCAGGTTGTCGTCCCACGACAGCGCCGGGACGCCGACGGCGCTCCGGGCGGCGTTGTGGATGTTGACGATGTCGGTCGCCGTGGTCTGGGCCTGCGCCGTCGATGTGGTGGCCAGAACCACCGCCATGGCCGCCATCACCACTGCAAAGCTCGCTCCTCTCTCCATTGCAAGCTCGCAGTTGATTTGATTGGCAGTGTACGTTCGATCGACTGCGCAATTAGAGTAGAACTAGAGCTATAGCTAGCTAGTAGAGGTGATGATTAATACATGCAATTTCGGCAGTATTTATAGACGGGCTGGCTCTCGATCGAGCCATGGACTTAATTAAGCACATGGCAAAGAAGAAACGGTAAACGTTGATACGGCGGACTGGTCCCTAATTATTAAGAGAAAGAAATGGGAGAAGAGCTGAAGAGGTGATAAGACCAGAAAGTCATGAACAAAGCACTCATGGGAAAGTGGATAATATGCGTGGCAAAACTTGTTACTACAGACCAAATTCTCTTACCCAGAATGTCTGAAAATTCTTCAAATCGGGTGCCCGCGCCTCCGCGCCGAAAAAAATGGGGCACCGCGCCTCCGTCCACCACGCGCCCCACCACACGCACTGTTGCAATAAATCTGCCACATATTACGGAAACACTCTATTAACAGGAATCCGTTTCATTTTTTTTTCACCAATAATGTTTCAACAAGTATATTCGTATTGTTACACTATGTATAGATCAAATGTTGCAGAGAATTGAAACATCCTTTCGCTATTTGCTGAAACATTATTTTTATATGCGGTGAAATAGCTTCAAAAACCGTTGTTTCATGCGCTGTAGCAAAATGTTTTATGAGGTGATTTGGTTGTATTTAAGCTTTTTAAACGATTGGACCATTTTCAATCAACGTAGTGAAACAATTCCGATCGACTGCGCAATTAGAGTACAACTAGAGCTATAGCTAGCTAGCAGAGGTGATGATTAATACATGCAATTTCAGCAGTATTTATAGACGGACTGGCTCTCGATCGAGCCATGGACTTAATTAATTAAGCACATGGCAAAGAAGAAACGGTAAACGCCGATACGGCGGACTGGTCCCTAATTATTAAGAGAAAGAGATGGGAGAAGAGGTGAGAGAAGACCTGAAAGTCATGAACAAAGCACTCATGGGAAACAAAGTGGATAATGTGGCAAAACTTGTTAGTGCCTCTGTTTCAGATTATAAGTCATTTGCTTCAAGTTTAACTAAGTTTATGAATAAAATAGTAATATTTTCAACCCAATACAAATATATTATGAAAATAAATTTAATTATCAATTTAATAAAACTAATTAATTTAGTGTTGCACATATTACTATATTTATCTACAACTTAATCAAACTTAAATTAGTTTGATTTTCACCAAAGTCAAAACGACTTATAAAACGGATGGAGTACTACAGACCAAATACTTACATGAGAAAACTCTTACCCAAAAAGTCTAAAAATAGGAGTGGGATGATGGAGAAGTTTATACTCCGTATATCTTTGGTGGAGTCGATCAGCTAGGAAAGGATGTGTCGGGTGCTGGATACTTTTGGCGCTTCCTTTGGACGCTTTTCTTGTTGTTTTGCTCTTTGTCGTTCCATAAACAGTACTATCTTCGTTTTCTCTAGTTAAAATTGTCTAAGTTTGATTAAGCTTATAGAAAAATATAATAATATTTTTAACACAAAATAAACATATTATCAAAACATATTCAATGATAGATTTAATGAACCTAATTTGGTGTTTTAGACGTTGATGAATTTTACAAATTTGTGATTGAACTCTAAAAAAATTTCTATCTTTGATCACTATTTTTTTTTCATAAAAAGTAAAGTTACACGTGCACTGGCTAGTAGATGGGTGGAACCATTCAAATTTCCAATGCATATGCGTCCATTGGAATATGGGTAACCATGCTTTCCTGCCGCGTTTTCTTCCTTTCTAGCTACCCTGTGACGTTCATCAGCAAGTACATGGCCGGATCGACTTAATTTGATCCGCTTGATTATTTTGATTAGAAATCGATTTCCCACTGACCAATTCTTACACGTACGTCTATCTAGTTGAGAAATCATAGCATGTCGATATTATTTTATCAAAATTGCGGGGAAATATTACTTTGTCTCTTATAAGGGAATATGTCCCCAAGCTTGTTGCTTAAATAATAAATGTCAATCCAAATAATAATCATATATTTTGTTGAAAAATAATTAACAATATAGATCAATATCTGGTATCACTTCACAAACTTTCACGTTTACATTTGATGTATGCATACTAGTCAAACAAACAAATTAAACTCTAAATTGTACGTATGTACTACTACCTCCGTCCTAAAATAATTGTAATTTTAGGTTGTTTGGCATATATTAAGGTTTGAGAAGAAAGACTATAATGTCCATCTTTAAAAGGTGTATAGATAAAAGTGAAAGGGTGGTTGAGGGTATAATAGGGAGAAATTTAAATGGGAAGTGATTAATGAGACAATTACTACTCTATTGTGACAACTATTTTAGGACAAATTTGAATCCTAGAAATACAATTATTATAGGACAGAGGTAGTAGCTAGTAGTTATTTTTCAAGGTATATGGTAATATCAAGCAGTAAATTAGTAATGAGCACTCTAATATTTTACCCCTCGGCCATATAGCTAAAGCTTTTTTTTTCTTAGCTATAAAATTAGGTTTTCACTTAGGCCCCGTTTAAATCTGCTTAAAAGGATGGATTAAATTTTGGATTAAAGTGGCATACTTTTCAAACTAATAAACGGTGTGTTTCGTGCGAAAACTTTATATATGAAAGTTCTTCTAAAATATCAGATTAATCCATTTTTCAAGTTTGTAATAATTAAAACTTAATTATTACAAACTTGAATACCATCCATTTTATAGCTACTATTCATCATTATACCTCCATATACTTTCTTTAGCTGGGCAGGTGATTCAACTTGATGTTTAATTTTTTTTCTGGCATATATATCGATATCACACTATCTGGAAAAAAAAATCTGGCATGCCAAGTATTGATGATAATAATGGGTAGCAAAGCACACCCCTTTCTTACACATGATTCCACTAGGAAAAAAATCAACCAACCTATGTACGTAAATTTATTGAAGTTAGTGGTATATTTATATAGTATACCTCCAATCATAAGTTAAAAGAATATAATGTTGTTCAGGACTTCTTAAGATCAAAATATCATCCAAATAGTCATACACTTTTGAAAAATTTAACAATATATGTATGATATCACTTCACAGAGATATACAAGTCTAAATTCATCGCATATTGTATGTTGAAACATAATAGGTAGATTAAACTCCAAATAGTGTAGTTGTATTTCAAGCTAGCTAGGTGTATGTTAACGGTTTTGCTAGAGTAGTGTCAACAGAAATTAGAGGAGGAAGCTTTCAAATTTTCAACCGCCACCGGATATGCATCAAAGATTCGTAACATGAGAGGAGAAAAATCGTGTGTTTTTTCTCTGTGCGCGTGGTATGAATTAATCTCGAGACGCTCGACTTGAACGATAGCTATGCTAACCACTTGTACCTATGCGCTTTTATGATAGGTATATACTAGTATAAGTTATAATGTAATTACATTATAATTATACTATTGTTACATTTGAAAATTTTTCACTAAAAAACTTTTTAATGGTATATAAGTACTCCCATATGTTAATATCATCAAATAATAAATTCATTTCCACATGTCGTAGCTCAAGAGAGTGGTATATATCAAAATGAATTTTTCAACTTTTGATATTTGTAAAGCCCCTGCGAACAAAATGGGATTATCCTCAGGCAGATCCTTAAGAGTCCGCCTATGATAATGTTTATTTGGTAAGCCTTTTCCCCATTTTCACATACGGTTTAAATATCTAACCCTATGTATATGACGACGTTTCTTGATACATTAATTATTGCATAGCTAGTGATCGAGGTCGAGAATAAAATCCATACAAAAGTACTCCCTCTGTTTCATAACGTAATTAAGACTTTTTAGTATTCTCCATATTCATATAGATATGTCTAGATTTATTAACATCTATATGAATTAATGTGAGTAATGCCAGAAAGTTTTATATATTATAAAACAGAGGAAGTAGTAGAAAGGAATTTCAACATAACAAATCCTTTATTTATCATGTACTCCTTAAGTACGAATAACGTACTGTATTCTGTATGTTTTACATATAGATATCTGATGCGCGCCTAACGTACATGCATCTACTCCAGTATTAATTCTACTAGCTAGTACGGGCGCTCGTTGGGGACGTTGCCGGGCGGGAAATAGTTGCAGCTGATGAGGACATCGCCGTTGTTGCAGACGGCGCGGCCGCAGCCGATCGACGTCGTGCTCCGCCACACGATCTGCGTGTAGTGGCCGCAGTCGAGCAGCGCCCCTTTGGTGCAGGTGTTGCTGCTGTACACGTAGGACGCCTTCTCCTCCATCCACAAGCCAACCGCGTCCGCCGCCGACCACGCCTTCCCGGCGGGGCCCCAGTAGAGGTTCTCGCCGTAGCCGCTGCCCGACGTGTGCCGGAGATCGCACGCGCCGCCGGCGGCGGCGCTCGCCACCACGCTCTCCGCGAACGCCTCCAGGGTCGCGTTCCACGCCACGTCGGGGAGGTCCACGCCCTCGCCGCGCCGGGCGGCGTTGTGGGCGTCGAGGAAGTCCTGCGGCGAGCTCTGCGCCGCCGCCGTTCCGGCCTCCATGGCGAGCGTCGCCGCCGCCAGTAGCACCAGGACAAAGCCTACTTTCCGCGCCATTATTGCAGATCGATCCAATGCAGAAGAGTTTCTCAAGGTAGCTAAAGCGATTGTGCTGTGCTAGCTGATCGATATGTGTTGCTCGCTGATCAGGTATTTATAGTCGTTATATCACAAGTAGCTCATCTATTAGCTCGAAGATTGCATGCAATACCATGGCTAATTAATTGCACTGTTTGTATTTGGCACGTGGCCCAAATGAACTTTCCAATTAATTTCCACATCTTTTTCAAGTAGCACGTACGTACGATATTCGATGCTACTAATTACTCCATCCGTCCCATAATATAAGAGATTTTGAGTTTTTGTTTACACTGTTTGACTACTCGTCTTATTTAAAAAAATTTAGAATTATTTTTTTACTTACTTTATTATCCAAAGTACTTTAAACATAACTTTTCGTTTTTTATATTTGCACAAATTTTTTGAATAAGACGAGTGGTGAAACGGTGCAAGAAAAACTCAAAATCCTATATATTATGGGACGAAGGGAGTATATATCTAGATTATGCTTATGTTAAACTTGATCATATTATAGTAGTATAATCCTGTCCGTACGTTTTACAACGTACGCGCAGCATGCGAGCGAGCTAGGGAGGTTGAAAAGACTTTAGACTTGGTCTTGCAGTGTCACGTTGCTTCTAGTAGTTTTTCCTTCCACCAATTGTATGTGGTCAATTAATTGTAGCAAACTGGCCATATGCATGGATCCACACTAGTTTAATATTATCTCCCACGTTACCTGGATATACTTTCCTTAGCAGCTGGGACAGGTGAACCAACTTGTTTAATTATTCTCTGTCATATATATCTTTTTTTAAAAAACTTCTGTCATATATATACCAAGTTTTAGTGAAACTAGTTTTGCATATACACCAAACTAGTTTCGTTAAAACTAAACTTTAATCTATTTTGATAATTTGTCTGTTATGTATTGAATTTTTTTCTATATTTTTATATAAACGTAGTCAAAATTAAAAGAAATTTGACTAGAATCAAAACGACTTGTAATATAAAACGCAGGGGATAGCTAGCTATGCTAGAGACAAATAAATCTTCATAATATTGCTAGCTTGCTCTCCCTCTAGATCTGGCAAAGGGAGGGCACCACGGCCAGGCCGCGCCATGCGACCGAGCCGCCGCCTCCTACCTCTAGCACCTCCGCCAAACCGCTGAGAGAGAGGGGGGGGGGGGAGGGAGAGCTGAGAGAGCGGTGTGAGAGACGAGGAGATAAGATCGAGGAAGAGGAGGTGTTGGCCTTATCACCTCGTGGGTTGTGGGGCCGGCCAACTATCTGCCTGAGGACCGGCTCGGTTTGATTTTTAGGTGCCGGTTCTTGACTATGAACTGGCATCTATTCTTTTTACCACAAAGATGCCGGGTAGCGCCCGTTCCGTCGTGGCGCCTAGCGGGAAAATTATCTCCTAAAAACCCTAATTGCGAAAGTTGTTTCTTTGATTGTTGTCTAGTGCCCGTGCCATCTCATGATCTCAATCCCCGCTCTATCGTCGAGTTCAATTCCGAATCCAATCCCTCCAAATCAAATTCCTCCGCAAAAGTCCATTTTGCCTCCCCCAGGGTCGATGGGCCGATTTTCCCTCGGCCCATCTTCCCCTCTCCCCCGGCCCATCTTCCCCTCTCCCCCGGCCCATCTCCATCTCTCCCCCGGCCCCCTCTCTCCCGGGCGCTCTCTCTCTCTCTCTCTCCTTTCCTCCGCTCCGCCCGCGCGCCGCGCGCGCGTGCGCGAGGGTCGTGCCGAGCGCCCCTCCCCCTCCGCTCTGCCCGCGCGCGTGAGCCGCCCGCGCCGAGCAGAGTCTTCCCTCTCTGCTCCCTCGCTGCCGCTTCCCGCGCGCCGTGTTCGCGTGCGCGCGCCCGCGTGGTTTCCCGCCCGAGCCGCGTCGTCTGCGCCGTCCGCGTCGCCCGGTCCCGCTGCCCAGCCGCGCCGCCCGTTGCTTCCCGCGCGCGCGTGCCGAGTGGCCGACCGCCTGGTCGCCGCCGCCGTCACCCTCTGCCGCGCCAGCCCGCGCCTGTCGCCCGTGTCGTCGCACCGCTCCAAACCATCCCACCGTCATCGCCGTCGTCACCGCCCGGCCCCCGCCACTCCGCGCACAAGCCGCCAAGGAAAGGAGGCCGCGCCCCTCCTCTCTCTGCCGCGTCGCCCCCGCTCCCCTCCCCCTTTTTCCCGAATCGGCAAAGGGGCAAGCCCCCTTTCTCCCCCTCCTTTTCCTCTTTTCCTCCTCTTTTTCCCCTCTCGCCGGCGTCACCTCCTGTCGCCGCTTTGGACGCTAGCCGGAGCGCCAGCTCGCCGGCTTGACCGCCCATGTCGGTTCCCCTCTCTCAAACCGACATTGCCGCCCATTTAAACCCGTCTTCCCCCTCCCTTCCTTTCCTCTCCCATTCGCCTCCTCACCGTTGCCGCCGCTCCCGTGCTCTGCCTCGCCTCCGCCGTCCATCGCCAAGCGCCGGTAGAGCCGGTGCGTTCGTGGACGCGGAAGGGGACTCCGGGCGCGCCCTCTTCTTCCTCTTCCTCGGTCCGAGGCCGGAGAGATCACTCCCGCGCCGTCGGCCTCTCGTCACTGCGCCCCGTCCCGCACGGTAGTGTCTCTCTCCGTTCTTCCTCCTCGCTCCATCTCCTTCCCCTAGCTTTCGGTAGTAGCTTGAGTAGACTCCCCGTAGTTAGCCGGCGCCGCCCCGACCGTTGCCGTCGCTCACCGTGTGCTCGCCGCCGTCTCCGCCCGAGCTCCGTAGCACCCGCTCGTCGCCGGCCTCGCTCGGCGTAGTTCCGCCTAATCCGACGCTAGCGTCGAGTTCCCGAAGCCGCGTAGATGCTCTCACCGCCGGGAATCGGCCTCTCGTGACCTCGTTGCCGTTTTCCTCCTCTCCCGCCGCCGGTTGCCGCCGCCGCAATCCGCCGCCGTCGAGCAACCTCCGGCGAATCCGAGCCGTTGGCTCGTCTCCCCTCGTCCCGTGCAACCGCCCGGTGTGCTCGCTTTTGCCTGTATCACCGTGGTTCGCTCCGCCGCTCGCCGCCGCCACCCGCCGTCCATTCGCGGCCGGGTCGTCGTCTACCTCCCACCAGCCCACGTGGCCGCCACGTAGGCGCCACGTCGGCGCCAGCTCAGCCTAGACCGGATCGAGCCGACCCCGGTCAGTCCCTCCCCGTGCGCGCGTTCCACCGCGAGCCGTGAGGCTGCGCGTGGGCCCGCCGCACCTGCGTCCACCGCAGACCGCGCGCATGCACCGCGTCCCTTCCCCGCCCGCGCGTGTGCGTCGCGTGCTCTCTCCGCACGGTGAGCCGAGCCGCTGACAAGCAGGTCCCACCCGGGACCGCGCGGGGTGAGCCCGGTCCACCGGCTCTCTCTCTCCTCCCTCCCGCGCGCGCGCGAGTTTGGGCCGCCTTGGGCCGGCCGGCCCATTTAGCTCGGCCGGACCGCTCCATTTCTCTTGGGCCGCGCCCTAGCCGTCCGAGAAAAGTCTATATTCCCTCCCTCCCTTCTTTTCTTTTTCTTTTCCAAAAAGGATTTAATTAAATCCTTTTCCTTTAGATAAAAAATTCAATAATCTTAGAAATTCAATATCTTCCCAACCGTAAATCCGTTTGACTCCGTTCAACTTCCAAAATTCCTCACATCTCGAGATCTAATCTCGAGATCTATCTAATAGGGCTTAATTTTCGCCGTTTGTTGAGTTGTTCCGTTTCGCGTGTAGTTCCGGAGCCCGAAGACCCGCAGTGCGAGGATTTCGAGGATCAAGCTCCAGATCTCGAGCAAGGCAAGCCACCTTTGAACATCTTGAGCCTATATTTGAAATTTAATTATGTTGCTTGCAAAATATTATGCATTGATAGGATCGCACTTAATCTGTTTGTCCCGTCTGCAAGGCAGATTGGCGGACCTACCTAATTTGTCGCATTTGATCCTTCCTTTGTTAATTGCTATACCATGTCCCCTTGTAACCACCCAGTTGCGCCTTGATACTCGTGCACTCTGTGCAAGTATCGACGGTCGCCCTCAAACTTAAAATCTGAGTAACAACTTGGGTAAAACTGGAGTTTTACAAAAGACTTGGAAAACCCGACACCTGGGTCGGTGCTTGCGAACTAAATGAATTTCCAAAACCGCGGACCGGGGAACGTACCGGGTGTACGGTTTCCCGCTCTTGCACTTAAGGACCGTTTCCTTGGAAATTTCATCCGAACATAAGACAAGTACGACCACATGGGTGGAATGGGACGCCCCTGGCTGAGTAAATTGCTAATCGGGGGAGCCTTGATGCCGAGAGACATGTGGATTCGCCGGGGTGGTGTCGGGGAGGACCCCTGGGTTTCCTGGCACAGTATGGTCTGGGACCTAACCTGTTGTTGGTCTGGGACCCCTCTCGTCGGCATATGGTAAACCTGTGTCGGCTTTCGAAATGCCTTGTCATGAAAGCTTGGAGGTCTCCCGACGTGGCTGATCCCCACGGGCTGGATGATCCGGGTTAGTAATGTCATGTGGGTAAAGTGTACCCCCTCTGCAGAGGTCATTAAACTGTTCGAACACCCGTGCCCACGGTCATGGGCGGATGTGAGGTGATTCCTAGCGTAGTTTTGTTTGACTACTGCTTGTGAAATTGTTGTTGTGAAAAGGGGTTCGATGTTTGAAAAATCTGCAGCTGATGGGATCAGCTAGGCCCGGGTGGCCGTTTGAAAAGTTGTTGGCCCGGGTGGCCGTTTGAAAAGCTGTTGGCCGGGTGCCAACCGTGTTGCAATCCTAAAGATTGATACATTGCACATACTCCGACCGGACGAGATGCACTGTCTCATTCGTGTCGTTTGAGAAGCACTTAGTTGTTTTCAGAAAAGAGTTCAAATAAAATCAATTGCAAAAACAGCAGCCTTCCCTTGAAGCCTGCATTAAACACTTATTTCCCCTGGCTTGCTGAGTACTCCCGTACTCACCCTTGCTCTATATAAATAATCCCCCCCAGTTGCTGAAGAAGATGAAGTGGATCCTGCTGATGAGGAGTTCTTCTAGGAGCAAGTCGGCTACGATGAGTTTTAGGGTTTCGGCCTAGTTCCCAAGTCGCGCCTGTGTTGATTGGTCCAAGTC